TTTTGAGGGGCCTTCTCTCTACAGTGGGCTGGAAGCGGATAGTCTGGGGAAGTGGTTCCAGAATGTCCTGTGTCCAGGGATCCCAGAGTYTCTGGGTGGTTTGGAAGACTTGCCAGTCCTTGGAACCATCCCAGTGGCGGGAGCAGATTGCTGGGTACTGAGGTGGGGGCTTCTCATCATCAGTGTCAGGAGCCCAAGCTACTGGGTTGTGGGCTCTGCACAATGGAGAGGCTCGCCGGCGATGTCGTCGTGTGGGTGGGGGGGTCACAGTCATTTTCACAGGGTCCATGGTGCATCGAAGATGGACTGCAGGGGAGCTCTCCTTCTTCGAGGGATGGGTCTGCTTCCCAGGTGAGGAGGAGTTAACAGCTTCTGTGAATCAGGGAGAGGGAGGCTGGTGGGGAGGCTTGCTCCTATAGTGAAGGGAGGGAGGCAAGGCCTGGGGAGAAAAGCTGCACCATGGTAGTGTCTCAGAGGGAAGAGCAGCAAGAGGCCAATTTAGGGTTGACAGACATATTTCTGTACCTTCTATGCCCCAACACCCAACCTTGTTTACCTTTTTCACAAATGATAAGGAATACCCGGTGTAAGATGATTCGGAGTCTGCTCCAGAGCTAGGTGTAGGAGGACATGGTGACCCCAGGCAGTTCCTTACCAGGTTTGCCCCCCAGGTTTGTTCCCTCCCACATGGCCCCCTCCTGACCAGGGTCACCATATTGATGATAATGTTAATGCAGATGATGAAACCCAGCAGCAACAGGATGGAGTTGCCCACGTCCTGGCAGCTGTTGGGGTTATCTGAATCCCAGCCAGGCTGTGGCCACTCAGCCATGGCCATGGCGGTCCCTAGGGCCACCAGGGCCCTTAGGCCCCCAGCCCCTGTGCCCACAGTGTCAACTGGCCCACCTGCCCTACCCAAAGTGTCCTGAGGGTGAGCGGGTCACAATGATGCTGGGACTCTCTCTCACAATGTGCTAAGGCACTAGTCTCAGAGTCTCTGGCCCAGGGTTGAGCCTCAGCTTGAGCCCAGACATTGGCAGAGGCCAAATCTTTCATTTTTATGCCTCTCCTGCAGCCAGTCACCTGGATCAGCTCACTGGCTCTCTCCCCTGTTTGGCATCTGTCCTGAGGCCCCATCTCTCATTCTAGAACCACACCAGGCTCTGGTCTCAGATATAGACCCGAGACTCAGGCATAAACCTAAGTCCTGATCTCTCCAGGCAATCCCAACTTCACAGAGCTATTCACTGAAAAGGTCTAGAGGTTTGGACTCCAAAGGCTTGTTTCAGAGCCCCCCACCCCAACATAAGAGCAGGCAAAACCAACAGTTAAACTTTTATATTTACAATATTCTCTTCATCTTTTGCCAGGTTTAAAAATGTGTACAGAGCCGCAAAGGGTTGGGGTGGGGACATGGGACTATCAGGGATTGTTCTGGAGAGAGGGGCTGGGCATTGGAGTCCGTGGCTGAATCATGGGGTCCCCCAGCCCCCCTCCCATGCCCTGGTTCTGGGGGCATCTGCCTATGGGCTCAGGGCCCAGGTCGCTAGCATTTGGAGGGCATGGCTGTTCCAAGAGGAGCTAGACCAGGCAGGGGAAAGGGCCAGAAAAGAACTACGTTTCCATGATTGGAGGTAGGAGAAGGGACAGTGAAGAGGCAATGTTCTGGGACTCACAACCAGGGATCCTGGACCTGGGTGCCAGTAGAAGATGGCACCCCACCCTTACTCAAGTTTGGCAGTAGCATCCCACAGAAAGCCGTACAGCAGGCTGAAGATTTACCCTCCTCTATTGTTGTTCCATAAAACCCGTTCTTTTCTTTCTTTCTTTTTTTTTGAACCAGGGATTAAACTCAGGGGTGCTTACCACTAAGCAACATCCGTTTTATTTTTTATTTTGAGACAGGGTCTCACCAAGTTGCTTAGGGCCTTGCTAAGTTCTTAAGGCTGGTCTCAAACTTGCAATCCTCCTGCCTCAGCCTCCTCAGTTGCTCAGATTACAGGTGTGTGCCATTGCATCCAGCCCTTAAAACCCTTTCCTACATGGTTCTCTTCCTCAGAGGCACAAACCCAAGGACCTCTGGGCAGTAGCCTCACACATTTCCTTTCAAATTCTTCCTGCTGGTGTTTGAACAAGCCCTGTCCCCCATGGCCCCCTCCATCTGTTCCTCAGTGCAACTGACCTCATTCCCCAAGCTGTCCATGAAACCTTTTTCCCTGTTAAACCCCCCCTCCAACACATACACACTGCTCTTTTCCTTTGGCCCTGGCAGCAAGGGGGGAGGGGTAAAAGAAGGGTAGGGGAAAAGATTGGTCTGACCCTGAGATGGGGACAGCTTCAAACAGGGAGGAGGAGCTGGAGAATGGAGATCTGGGACAGGGAGGGAGGGGTGACACAGGAATCAGAGTGACAACAGGGGGGCTCCTTAGCTGCCACATCCCCCTACCCTGTATCCTACCTGTCTCCTCTGTCCTAGCCTGGGACTGTGAAATCCTTGGCACATTTGGAGTCTTTCTCCCCTCCTCCAACCCACCTACCCAGTTTGGCACAGATGAGCAATGATCTGAGGACTGAAGGAAAGGCTGTCCTCAGGCCCCAGGAGGGCTTTGGTCAAACATGCATGGCCTCTGTGGGTGGCATACGCCACATTCCCTGTCTACCAACTCAGCATCTCTGGGAGAGGGAGGTCCCCAGCCTTCCCTCAGGGTTTGTACATCCCCCTCAGCTTCAGTTAATCTGAAGTCTGTTCCCACCTGCCATGTGAGGAGTGCTGGGCCTGAGGCTGGGGGGGATGCAGGGAAGTGCTGGGGAGAGAGGGACCCTCTGCCTGGGAAAACACACATCCACATGCAAGAACATGTTTCCACTCAGAGAAATGTATCCTGGACCATGGGAGAATTAGTTTCCAGGCAGCACCGGGATGCACGGATCTCCCTTCCCCCTGGCAGGAAATCTGTGTCTGTCTGTATGGAAGGTGAGGGCCTCCCTGGGAGAACGTGCTTCATCTGACTTGTGCCATGGGGGAGAAACATGCTTTGCTGGGGTGGAGGGGGGAGAGGAGGGGGGGGGCTGTGTTTTCCTTGCTGCTCCCCAGGCACCACCCTGTGTTGTCTGGTGGCCAAGAGTCACTGTATGAGAACACATCACTTCCAGGGTCTCCAGGGGGTGGGGAGGGGAGGAGGTGGGAGAAGGCATGAGGAAACAGGATTCTGGGGTACAAATCCCCGCAGAAATTCTTTGAGGGGGCCAACATGTGTCCAGGGCGGCAAAAAAAACCTCACCCTGCACATGGGAAAATACCCCCTCATGAAGAAAGCACACCTCCATGTGGGAAAAGACTTCCACATTTCCACACACTGAAGACTGGTGTCCCAGTGGAGGGCAAAAAACACCCCCCAATGTTCAAAGGCCCAGGTCCAGAGAAGAGAATGGGCCTCTTTGCATGGGAAAAACACGCATCTCAGTGGGGAATCCCATGTCCACCTTAACACTGTTCGATGATGTGTGACAACTCCACAGGAGAAAAGCCCGTTGCCAAGTCCTACTCCCTGCCTTGGAGTGGCCCAGGCTGGGGAGGGGTGGGGAGGGTGGCCTCCCCATGCCGCCCCCTATACCCGGGTGGTGGAGTGAGGATGGGGTAGCGTGTTGTTGTGGCTGGTAGCGGTGGAGGGCGGTGGGGGAAAGGGCCCAAAGGGATGGAGGGAAGGGGGTGGCGGGGGTGGTGGTGGCCCCAGGCCACTGGGCAGCAGGGTTAGGGCCCTGGGGGCCAAGAGAGGCACATCGTCCGGTGCCCGGCGCAGGGCCAGGGTGTAGTCGGGTGGACAGGCAGGGCGCAGGGCCTCAGCAGGGTCCGCCCCGACGCCACCACCCTGCTTCAGCTGCAGTGACACCAGCTCCTCCTCTGGGGGCAGCTCCCGGCCAGCAGTGGGGAGCAGGGGACCCCCACCAGGCACACCAGAGCCTGAACCTCCAGGTGGACTAAGCCGCCTGCATCGCAGTTCCTGCCGCCGGTCCCGCTTGTAGTAGAGAGCGGCAAAGGCCAGGATGTTGAGGAAGAGAAGGGAGGCGCCCACGGCCACAGTGACGCTTAGCTCTGTGGAGTAGTCTCGTGAGTCTCCAGGGAAGCGGTCATAGGCCCTTGGGCCTGGCTCAGGCTCAGGCTCGGGAGGCAAGGTTGCAGGTGGTGGGGGCCGGCGTGTGCCAGGGGCTCCAGGAGGCGGGCGGGGAGGCCAGCGTGTGGCATAGGGAGGCAAGCGAGTGGTGGTGGTGAAGAGCTCGGTGTGCAGATTGTGCAGGTGGGGCACAAGCTCCAGCCAGAAGGCCACCTTGTTGGCGCGGTAGTTGTCACGCACTCGTGGCTTCAAACCAATGTGTAGGTACTGCTTCTCTTTGCTGTTGAACTTGCTCCACACCACCTCCTCAAAGCGGTTGGGTTTGGTGTGGATGAACTTGGTGTCCTGTGGCACTGGCTGGTTGGGGTCACTGTGGGCATAGGAGGGCAAGGAAAGGAGGAGTGAGGGTGAGGCTCAGGCTCCATGGAGGGTGGGGCTGCAGAGGGGAAGGAAGAAGACAGAGATGCAGAGACAGGGAGACAGCAAGAAATCCAGAGAAAAAGTCACAGAGGTAGAGACAATACACGGATGTGAAGAGACATAGAAATTGTCAGAGACARGGCCAAAGAGACAAAAAGGATCAAGACAGATCACCAGAGACAGCCAGAGTTGAGGTCAGAGGGACAGAGACAGAYCAAGAGAGAGCCAGTAAGAGGCAGAAGCTGAGACCAAGAGAGACAGAAAGGGAGAGACAAAAATATATGACAGACAGCCAGGGTAAAAGCTGTCAGCAGACAGAGACAGTGTAAAGTAAACAGACCAAAGAAGGAAGAGGAGCCAGGTGCTATGGTGCATGCCTATAATCCCAGGTACTTGGGAGGCTGAGGCAGGATTGCAAGTTCAAGGCCACCCTATGCAATTTAGTGAGATGACCCTGGTTCAAAATAAAGTTTAAAAAGGGTTGTGGGAGCTGGGTGTGGTGATGCATGCCTATAATCCCAGCAACTTGGGAGGCTGAGGCAGGAGGACCCCAAGTTCGAGGCCCCCCTCAGCAACTTATTGAGGCCCTAAGTAACTTAGSGAGATCTTGTCTCAAAATAAAAAATAAAAAGGGCTGGTGATGTGGCTCAGTGGTTCAGTGCCCCAGAGTTCCATCTCCAGTACCAAAATAAATAAAATTTAAAAGTTGGGGATAGGGGCTGAGGTTRTGGCTCAGGGATACAGCGCTTGCCTTGCACATGTGAGGCACTGGGTTTGATTCTCGGCACTACATAAAATAAGTAAGTAAAACAAAGGTACTGTGTCCATGTTCAACTAGAAAAAWTTAAAAAAATTAAAAAATAATAAATAAAAAAAATAAAAGTTGGGGATATAGTAGAGTGCTTGACTAGTGTCTCCTGATTTTGATCCCAGTATCATAAAGGAAGAGGAAAAACAAAAAAAGGACAGAGGGACAAGGGAAAGGGAGAAATGTCAGTGGATTTCAGGAGAGTGGCAAGGCATAGAAACAGACAGATACAAACTCTTATACACTTAGACACAGACCACAGTGGTCACACAGAAGCAGAGCACAGAGGGGGGGCCGGAGGAGGCCAAGGGAGGAAGAGAGACAGACACCAAGCTAATGCTACCAACTGAGCCCACCCCCAGAAAGAACAGGGACCTCTCTGTCTAACTCTGCTGAATCTCTAACCCTCACCTCAGTGCCTGGTACAGATAAGGTGTTCAGCAGTGTCTGAATTGGTCTCGCTTAAGCAAGGGACAGCAAGAGCAAGTGCTTTCCTGGAGGAATGATGGCCATATGAAGAAGGGAGGGAGRGAAGGACAGAGGACCAGCCAAGGATGGTGAGGATGCCTCAGCCTGCAGCGCGCCCCACCCAGCCCCACCAGCCCCTTTGGCCCTCACCCAGTCTTGGCGAAGTTGGTCCAGTAGGTCATAACAACTGCGCTGAGCATGACGTCATTCTTGGAGAAGTTGCAGGGGAAAAGGTCAGTGGGGCCTACCATAGGGACACCAAAAACGTAGGGTACTTCATCCCCATGTGCTGCATCTGACCAAGCAGGCTTCATGAGGCTCTGGCAGTGATGGTAGAAGGCGTAGAAATAGGTAGGTGAGCCATATCGGGCATGCAGATCAGCTGTCACCACAGAGGGCTCCACCCACTGGTGGTCAGTGAAGAGTGCCACCAGTGTTTTACGACGGGTCTCAGGGTTGTCACGGTCTGCCCAGTCTGTGTACATGAACTTGATGGTCTCCCGCAACACATCCTTGCCTTCCGGGTAGCCATACAAGTTGTCCACGAAGTTGGAGACAGTGAAGTCAAAGGCGCTGGCGGACACACCATCCTCACTCTCTGCAGAGTCCTCCACAAACTTGAGGCCCTCTCCCTGATTGACACCGATAAGCATGTCGTAGTTGAGGAATTCTCCCTGCTGCATGAGGATCTCAGGGTCATCGGGGACTACATCGCCGTCCACCACGGGCCCAAAGGCAATGTGGTAGCTAGGGAGAAGGGGGCAGGGTCTCATCACCTGCTCACTGGCCTCATCTTGCCCCATGGSCCTATAGGCCCACATGCAGGTACCCCCTGGAAAACCCTTCTCCCCTACTTGAAGACCTCCTAGAGTCCTTCAGGGCACTTGACCTCTCCAGAAGTCTTCCAGAAACGTTTCATGGTACCCTGTGCTCACTTACTCTATTTGGCCACCTCCATTGAGGAAAGGCCATTAAGAGGCCAGTAAAAGGGCCTGAAGCCCACCTCTCCTTGCCCAGTGGAATGCCCACAGGCACCTCTCACCTCAACCTCCTTGGAACCAGCAAGGAGAAGTGAAGGCCTGGACCTGGCCCTCTCCCACCCCCATACCGGGCAGGCTGCACATCCTGGTCCACCAACTCCCGAGAAGGCTTCCTGCGCAGACACTCCACAGCTTCGGCGCTGTCCTCCCGGTCACAGCCCACCTTGGCTGCCAGCAGACGCGTGTACTTGAGTGGCTGGTAGTTGACAGACCAGCTGGAGATGGCAGTACCACTCTGGGCAATGGCCTTCTGGAACAGTCCTGGCAGGAGAGCAAGATGACCTCAGGCTATGCCATAATAGCAAAAACCAGAAGGGGGATCAGGTAGGGTCAGAGCTGTGGGAAGCAGGGCAGGCTGCTGGTACCTTCTGAATGGTGGGAGAGGATCAGCAGGTTGACACAGGAGGCCCCTGCTCCAGACCCAAAGATGGTGATGCGCTCCGGATCACCCCCAAAGTGGGCAATATTTTCACTAAGCCAACGCAGGGCCTGGATCTGGTCCAGAAGCCCATAGTTGCCTTTTGCAGCCTGATCCCCAGTGCTGAGAAAACCTGAAGGTAGAAGAAGAAAAGGGGCTCCCTGAGGTGTCACAACATCCACACCCCCTTTCTAGGCAGTTCAATCCAGCCCAGAAGCAATTTTGCTGGGTTTAGAGGAACACTGCCCACCACGCCTACCTCCCAGACTCCACCCCCCCAAAGTTGGCTGCCCACCCTCACCGAGCACCCCAAGACGGTAGTTGAGCGTGGCTACGATGACATTGCCATAGGCAGCCAGGACTGAGCCATCGAACATATTCCCGGTGCCCTCCATGTAGGAGCCTCCGTGCAGAAACAGCATGACAGGTTTCTTCCCAGAATCCCGGATATCTGCGTGAGGAGGGGGCAGCAGGTGGGCCAGGGGATTGGGGATAAGGACACAGTCAGACCAGAAGCAGCACTACCCAGCTCCCAGGTCTGCTAAGGACCATCCAGGARCACAGGGGACTTGTCACTCCCATCCCTGGGGGGCAAGACCGGATTCCCCTCCCTCCCCCTACAGCTAGCCCTAGAGAAAGGTCCCTCACTACCCCTGGCCAGGCTGTCCCCAATCACTTTTCCAAATGTGGGGCAGACCTCCAAGAAGCCCAACAGAGGCCGGGGGTGGGAAGTGGCCCTCCTCAGGGCCTATGCTGGTTCCAGCAACCCCCTCCCCACGTGGCAAATCTCCTTCCTGCACCTGGAAAGAGTGCTCTGAGGCTGGAACTAGGGCTAGAAGTGCTGGGAGGGTCCTGCCATTTCCTCAGAGTCAGGCCTTGGGCCTCAAGCTCCACATGGCACCCTGGTCTGTGGGTGAGGGGGTGTCAGGCCCTGGGGTCCCTGGGGGCTTGGTCTCCTCCCCGCCCTAATTCCTTTCTAGGTCACCTCCCTAGTTACCATAGCAACCCCCAGCCTAATTACTGTGGCAGGAGGAGGCAGGGTGGGAAAGAGCCTGCCTAATGAAGCCAGGGTGCAGCTCTGAGTCTTARACACCCATAAACTGGCCTGAGCCCTAGGTCCTGAACTGAACTTCTTTCTTGCCATCTCCCCAAAGGATCCCTTAATCATTGCCACACACAGTATGCCCTTGAAACACTCAGGACAGGACTGAGAGGTGAGAAATTCCTGAAGAAAGTGGGAGTCTGAGAGGGCTTGCCAGGTCCTCAAGCTAGATAGTTCCCTCTTCTGCAGCTCCCCCCCTGATCTGCATAGTGCCAAGGGCTGGGATCACCCCTGGCCCACAGGCCCTCCTGTTTCTTAGCACCTGCCATGCCTGACTTGCCTGGGTACTCCATCAACTGGAGCCAGGCCTAGGTCCCCACAGTTGGTCCCCAACACCTCACCATCTTTCTCATCCTGGTAAAAACTAACTTTCTGACAGGTCAGTCTGCAGGTCACTAGGATACTCCCTGTCACTTGTCCCAGCCAGCTTCCAGTCTCCTCTTAGGCTTTCTCTATAGTCTCTGGACTTCTTCAGCCAGAGCTCCCAGGTAGGCAGCTTCCTCTCTGTGTACTCCCCAAATTCACTTCTCCCTTTGTTTCTGACTTTCCAGTAGTTTCAGGCTGGAATCTCCTTCCCTTCAAGGTCCTGTTCTAAATGTCTTTGGATCTCCCCAACCCTCCCCATACCCTTCTCCCAGTGTGTGGGGAGGGGAGTCAGAAAGGGAAGGAGCAGGAAGAGGGGCTGGGGCAACAAGAATTCAAAACCAACAACAAAAAACAGGATCAAGAAAGAAGAAAGAAAGAAAAAAACAACAACCAAAAAGCAAGAAGCTCTTGGGGCAGATTCAACAAGAAAAGAAAAAACAACAACAAAAAGAAAAACTCCATTTTGGAAAAAAAAGAAAAAAAGAAAAAAGTTCTTTGCATTTTTTTTTTCAAAATTTTGTGGTGAAACTTCAAGATATTGGGCCCTGTTTTTCAAAAATTTCCAAATTCTTTGATTCACTTAGAATGTTTGCGTTTTCTGAGTCTGACAGGCTTTTAGAAATTGTAACAGGTTCTTAATGTTTCAATTGTGTCATCAATTTGCCAACTTAAATTTTTTTCCAAATGTTATTTTGCTCCAAATTAAATTTTTTTTCCAAATAGTACATTTCACAARTTTCAAAGTAATCCAAATTTCTTTCAAAGTCTCAATATTTTATCCAATTCTTTGTTGTTTCTCTGACATTCCAATTTTTTTTTCCACTTTATTTTTGCCATGGTTAGGTTTTCTTGCAGGTTTTCTAGTGGGTCCAACATTGTTCAAATTTCGTTTGAAGTTTTCATAATTCTTTTTTCCAATTATTAAAAATTTTTCTTTTCTTTTCTTTTTCATTTTTTTTTTTTTTTTTTTAGTTGGGAGAACAACTGAGGGGCCTTGAGGGCTGTGGGGACATTTAGTTAGGGGCAGGGCCATGAAAGTCCTCTTATAAGCAACCACATGCAGCAGCGGGATTTTTAAATCTACCTGTGTCTGGCGGATTGAGCGTCGCCTCGTCACGTTTTTTTGTGAGCGGACCTAAGACCGGGAACACAAAACAGAGAAAAAAGGACAATTTTGTGGGGAAAGATGGGGGTCGGGGGAGGTGGTGGATGGGGAGGGGAGGAGAGAAAGCAGAAAAGGGGAGGGTGAGGGGAGGCAGAAAAAATAAGCCAAAAAAAGCAAAATTTGTTTGCAAGAAAAAGAAACCAAGAAAAGAGAAAAACGTTTCTACAACCCAATTTTGTTCCCCTCCCCGGAAAAAGTCATGCCCCAAAGAAAAGGTGGGTTTTGGGGGGTGGGGTGCCTGCGTGGGCTGAGGCCTGTCTTAAGACATATTGACTTGGCTGGAAAGGATTTGGCTTGTTGGTGTGTTTGCTAATTGCTGGAAATGAAACGGATGTTAGAGTGGGGTGGGAGGGGAGAGGAAACCCCAGGAGACCAAGGCCAGCTTGCCACCCAGGCCACCTCTCACAAGGCCCCTTCAGGGCCAGCCAAGCACTGCCTGCTGCCCCACCCAGGCTGTAAAGAGGAGAGGCTGCGCAGAAAGGACTTTGTATCCTTCTGGACAGCTCTGGAGGGCAGAGGGCAGGATGGGGCTGGAGGGCAGCCCACCCTGCTGCTCACAGCCTTCAGAAGCCCTCTGCTCCCCACTGGAGGGCTATGGGAAGGTCAGATAAGGCTGCCCACCCTCCTACCCAGCCTCACCGGCCAGCATTTCTCTTCCATCCACACTCTGGCCTGGCTTCTCACCCCATCTCCTCAGTGTGGGCAAAGCAGGGAAAGGGGTCATCAGGTCTTGCCCTCCACTCCAACTCATCCCTCCACACTCCCACCAACCTCATCCCTTACCCAGGCCTCCTCTCCTCCCACCAAAGTTGAGAGCTTCCGACCAGGACCACCCCCAGCCCCTGCTCAATTGCCAAAAAGCCCTCCTCCCCACTTGAGGGATTCAGCCCACAATTAGGGAACAGGAAACACAGTGCCCTGAGCCACCTTAGCACCCAAGGTACCAGGGGCAGAAGGTACTRGGTGGCACAAAGTGTGCCCAGAATCAGGGAAAGGCCCCATACTAGGCTCAGAGATTAGCACCAGGCTTACTTCAGATTAGGGGATCAGTTAGGGGACAGCTAGAACCTAGAGGCCTCAGGGGGTTCCCCCGGGTGATTTTTTTTCCCCCTGGATAGATTGTGGAGTTTCAAGGCCCAGGGTAGCTCTAGAAGATTTCTCCTTTACTGGCAATAATGGCCCCATGAGGACCTACTGGGAACAGGGCCTCTTCTTTGAGAGAGGGTGTGGATGAGGATGAAGTCAGCAGGGCATGCATGCATGTGAGAATGAAGTGAGTGTGTGTRTGTGCTTGAGTCAACCTCTTCCTCCCAGAGCTGGTGTGAATATTCAGTGAGATCACCTGAATGTGTCAGGTTCTAAGCAGGTCTGCAATAAGCAATAGTTAAAAATATAGAAGGTGTGGGCATGGGTGTTGTGGGGTCAGGGGCCAAATCATTTGTGTGGAGGTGTTGAGGTGGACAGTCCAGTGGTGAAAAGTACTGAGTGTTTGATTGGGGGAAGGACATGGGGTAGAGAGCCTATGTGAAAGTGCGAACGTGGAGAGTCCACAAGCAGGAAGTGTTGAGATGGACAGTCTATGTGGAGGTTTTGGGGTAAAGGACTCACAAGACATTGGGATAAGTGGTCCACGAGAGGGAAAGGAATGTGCGGTTTTCTTGTGAAGCATGGTTCCTTTTATTAAGAAACTGGGGAGGACATGTGGAGTATGCTGGAGTAAATAAATGGTCTATGAGGGAATAGGGTGCTTAGATTTTTTTTTTTTTTCTGGTACTGTGGATTGAACCCAGGGGTTATATCCTTAGCCCCAGTTCTTTTTTGTTTTTTTATTTTGAAACAGGGACTAAGTTGCCCAGGCTGGCCTTGAACTTGAAGTTCCTCCTGAGTGGCTGGGATGAGCCAACCTTGCCTGGCTAGAGTACTTAGAATTTGGATGCATTAAAGTGAAAGTTTCTGTGCACTGTGTGTATAGGTTGTTGGGAGCATGGTTTACATGGAGAGAGGTAGTTAGAGGTTGGGTACACAGATGGAATGAGGGATACAGGGTAGATTGTCTATATGGGTTGTGAGTGGATGTGAGTGGGTTGCGGTGCATGAGTTGTTCTATGATTGGCATGAGAGGATTCTGGATGCAGATGCAAGGTGTTTGAGTACTTGATCTGTACCATCCCTCAGGTGTTGTTACCACCTGAGGGATGGTAYAGGTGATCTCTAGATAGGATGCATGGCAAACAATTTGTAAGTGTTGAGGGTGTTGGAGACTGTGGCACAAGTAACCTGTTGGARCACATTGTCCAGGTATGGGGTCACAGGGCTATAAGGTATGTGTGTGTTGCTAGGGCCCATGATCTCTATATATCTAGGGATACTGGGRAACACAGGCTGTGTGGGTGATGGGACACACAATTTCAAGGAAATGTTAGGCATGTGTATACTGTGAATACATTGGGAATTGGGATCTGTGGGGTGTTGAAGCAAATGGTGAATGTATATGATGGCTGGGAACATGCTCTGTGTATTGAGTAGTTGAGATTCTCAACTTTTGACAATTGAGGATATGATGTGAGTTACAGGTTCCTGAGTACCCAACAGCCTGGGTATATGGTTGTTTAAAACAACGTGGAGAGGGCTCTGTGGAGGTATTGGYATGTCTTGGAGTATCATGATGGGGTATCAAAAGGGTAATGTGGGGGCTCTTTGTGCTGATTGTCTGTTGGGATAGCTTGAATCTGCCAGTTACCCTCTATCATAGACAAGTRGGAAATTGTTCTGATTAATCCTGGTGTGCAGCAGGTTGGTGGGAGAATTGTCTGGGGGTGTATGCTGGAACTATAAGCAGTCCTGTAGTGGACAGGAATTCATTAACCTGAACAGTAGCTGGTCAGCTCCAGGAAGGAAGTTTGGGCTGTGTTGAGTGGAGGTGCCCTTGGCAAGAAGCTTTCCTTCAGGGATACATAAGAATTTTTTATGAGACAGAAATCTCCCACAAGAGGGTGTGAGAGCCACTACCAGATCAGGTTAGGGACTATGGGGGCCACATGATAGAGGGATACCTCTTCAGGCTGCCTGGGRTGGGAAGGGTGAGTAGGAAGAGCCCACATTGTCCTTGAGGTGTAGTRTAGCTAAAGTAGGTATGCCAAGCCCAGGCCTAGAAGCAGCAGGTGAAACAAGGCTGAAGGGGGCTCTGAGCAGGTGATGGATTGATTACATCCAGTGACTACATTGAGATTGGTGCCTGACTATGTGCCTCTTTGGGGAAAGAGTGGWTGAGCCTAGCCGAGTGCCTGCTATCCTTACCATGGCTCTGCGAGGGCACAAAGAACTTCCAGGGTGGCTGTGTGTGGGATGATGCTGGAGCAACCTGGCAGGCACCCTTACTTCTCAGAGGGTGTGCAGACGTATAGGGACACACTGCCCCTCACTGCCCCCACCGAGGCCCAGCTCAGGGGCTAGGAGGTGGGCCAGTGCCTGAGGGTCTGTGTGTGAGCGTTTGTGGGCTGTGTCCACGGGATACCCGGCCTTGTGCCCGCGCCCTTACCGTCCTCAGTGGGCACGTAGAGGTTGAGATACAGGCAGTCCTCGCTCTGGTTCTGCACGTAGGTGGCGGCGGCCTCCAAGTTGTCGGTGAACCACACAGGCAGCATGATGGCCGGCAGCGCCCCGTGCAGGTTCTGCGGGCAGGCGGGCGGCAGGGTGGTGGCGTTGCGCACCCCGGGCCAGGAGGCGGGTGCCTCAGGAGGCTGGAAGCGGCGGGCACCCAGGGGCGGTGTAGCGTAGGGCACGCCCAAGAACTGCACGACGGGGCCCAGGATCTCGTTGTTGAGCTCGCGCCGCACACCGCGCACTCGCCCGTAGGCTGTGTTCACCACTGGGAAGCGCTCCTCCCCGAGGCTGCCGAGGCCCAGGCCCGGGCCGCCTGGGGCGCCGCCGGGACCCCCTCCCCCCCGTTGAGCCCCCGCCAGCCCCACCAGACACAGCGCCAGGAGCCACATGCTGATCGGGGGACCCCCCCTCCCTCCCCGGGACCCCCCCCCTCGGAGAGAGAGAGAAGGGGGGGGAGAGGGAGGGAGGCCCCCCTCGCCCCAGGAGGGAGGAGGGGGYGGGGGACAGGAGGGAGGAAGGGGGCGGGGAGGGACCTGGGTTAGACGGGACAGAGAAGGGGTCTGTTCCTCTCCATTGAGGGGGCAAGGGGTGGGGAAGGGAAACGAGGTGGAAGAAGGTGAAGGCAGGCCCGACCTGCGGGAGGCAGAACAGGAGGGACAGGGTGTTCAAGATACAGACAGACGGACAGACAGAAAAATACAGAGGAGAGGTGGAAGAAGGGAAAGGAAGTTGGATGGGGAGGACAGAAAGGAATGGGGAAACAGAAGAGACAAGTGGTTAGTGACTTGGATTTCAGACCAAGTTGCCACCCTTCTTCCACCCACAGGCCCCTGGCCCCTCCTCCCTCCCCCCAGCAGCCCTTCTCTCTTCAGCAGGGTCCCAAGCTAGAGGTGGGGTCAGATGTGGTAAAGGTCCTGTACAAAGTCGGTGGAGACCCAGGAGCCAGTTCCCCAGACCCAGCAGTCCCTTCCCAGCTTCTTTATCCCTCCCAGGCAGGCTCTCCCCAGGGACTCAGGAGTCCCAGTCCCCACCTCCCTGGGAGGGAATGAGACAGACAAGGAAGAGAAAATAAAAATACCAAGTCATTAATTAGCAGGAAGTGGCGGGTTTGTTTATACGTGTTAATTACTCCTGAGCTATAATTTCATGGCACTGAACCCCCACCCTGGGCCAGACTTGGGTCTTTCTTGGGACCGAACAGACCAAGCACCTTCTTTCCCCTTCATGACATTCCCTAAGGATTTTGCAACCCTCAGACTCCTATCTCCCCAGCTTCCTTTCCTTCTTCATAAGTTGGGGTACCTCAAGGCAGGGGTTAGAAATGGRAGGCGATACTGGAGGGGCAAATCCAGGGACAGATGCGTGATCCTGCAGCCGGTTGCCGGGCGACGGGATGCTGCCCCGCAATGTTACCTCGGCAACGGGCTGCAGCTTTAACCCTGGAGGGGGTGTCTGGAGGAAGAGGGGAAGGGGCTGGCTTAGTTGTGGGGTCCATTCAGGGCATGATGGGGAGGGCAGAGGCGTGAGTCTGAATACTAGTTTTCCCCAATAGTAGCATAGATGAAGTATATATGTTGAGGGGAAGGGGAATCTGGGGGCATGGAGAACCCTAAAGATCCGCCTCTTGCCCCCCTTGCGAGCCAATCAGAGCTTAGTCCTAGTGACCAGGCCTCTGACTGGGGAGAAGGGGCACTGAAGTGGCTTGGGAGGCATCAAATGAGCCTACTGACTGCCCCCTCCCACAATCTTGAACAGCTCTGGACACCAGACACCTCCTCTTTCACTGCATTTTGACCTATGTCCTGGGGGCAAACCTTAGCTTTATTCTCCTCTCTTCCCATCCCATCCATTCCCCTTTCCTTCCCCTTGCCAACRTCCCCACCATTGCTGCTCTGAGGCCTGTGTACTCAGGGCACCAGGGACAGGACAAGGGAAGAGATCAGACCCAAGGGGCAGATACCCAGGTCATTTCAGCAAGCCCCCCTGCCCCCCACCAGCCGCCTGAGCTGTTTGCTGACGCGGGGTTTTCAGAGCCAGGCGCCAGCCCGCGGGTGGCTCTCTGCAGGTGTCAATTTATTCCAGAGATGAGGACACAGGAATCCTTACCACTCACACCCAGCTATGCCCTCCCCYTCTTCAGATCCTCTTAAGCTCTGTTCCCCCATCCCCTGGAAGGGACTTGGGGTTGGCTTCTCCAGGATCTTTTTCCTATGCCAGGCTAGGCTCAGACACTGTGGCCTTGCTGTCCCCTCTTTCTCCCCCATGAGATAGTCTGCCTCTGTCACCCCTTCTCCCTCAGGGTACTTTGGACCCTGGCCTCCTCCCCTTCAACCAGCTTCTCTCCCTACTTCCCTCCCACTGGAGCCCTCCCCCAACATCTCTCTCCTCTCCATAGCGCTCCCTCAGAGCATCTTTCCTTGGCCTCTTCCAGCTTGCTCCAGCTCTTGCCTTCAGTCTCTCACCCCGCGGTCTTTTTTTTTTTTCCTTCCCATTTTTCTCTTCTACATCTCTCCTTGGTATTTCTCTTTCTCTCTCCTCCAAATTTCTTCCTCAATTTTCTCCCTCAAGCTCCCTCTTTCTTTCCTGTCTTCCCCTATCTCAGTCTCCCCCATTTTCTCTCCCCATCTCTGTCTACCACATCTTGCTCCCCCTCCTTCTTCCCATCCCTCTGCCTTGCTCTCTCCATTCCAGCCCAGGCCTGACTCCCCCAACAGGGTAGAGTTGAGGGACGGGGGCTCAGGCCGCAGCCCCCCCCCCCTTCCCGCAGTGGGGAAAATGGCTTGGCCAGGAAGGGGAGAAGGAGGGGGAGGGGGAGATGGGAACACACGGGGTCTGTGGGCCCATTCAAAGGATCATTCATAGACTGGAGAGAGGCAGAGACAAAGAGACCAAGACGCAGAGACACGGCGAGAGCATCCCTAGGCGGAGACACGCAGACAGAGCAGGCTGTGGGAAACCAGGCTCAGGGAGGGAGATGGGGAGAAGAGACCCCAGCAGACCACCACGCAGCCCCCTCCACCCAGCCTGGCTTAGCTCCTACCTGGCTCAGCCCTGGGGCCGTGGTGCCTCCATCCAGGGCTCCGAGTGGGGGGCGGACGGGCTTCGAGAGGGGGGCGGCGGCCTCTGAGCCCCCGCGGCCCCGCAGGCCCAGCCCCCGCCCGCAGCGCCTCACCCGGCGGGGGAGGGGGATCGCCCCAGCCCCGGGGGGCGGGGCCGGGATCCACTCGATCCCCGGGAAAAGGAGAGCTAGGGGATGGGATCAGGGGGAGCCCGAGAACAGGGAACCCCGCAGTGGGCACGGAAGAGCAAGGAGGGAGCAACGGGACAGGACTGGATTGGAGATCCACTGGCTCCGTGGGCCCGCTTCGAGGGACCAGAAGGCAGTCCAGGCGGAGGATCCTAAGGGATCGGATGCTGGAGGAGGAGTCCACGGCAATCCCCAGGGGCCCGGGGCCCCGGAGCGCAGGATCCGCGGTGCAGGGGCAGGGATCCAGCCGGAATCCTCGGGGAGGGGGAGGGATCTAGTCGATCCCGAGGGCGGGCGGGAGGGGGAGGTCCGGGGAGTCTGAGGAGGGCGGGAGCCGAGTCCGGAGCCTCGAGGCAGAGGTCGACGCGGCTCCTAAGAGGGAAGGCGGGGGTGGGAGTAGTCTTCGGGGGACGCTCAGCAGCCGGGAGGCCCGGACTCCTGGCTCCGCGCGCCAGAGCCCGCCCGCCCCGCGTCCATCCCAGCCCGAGAGTGATGATCCGCCGGCGGAGCAGCCGCAGCAGCCCCGCGCGTCACCGCGCGGCCGCCTCCCCCGCCCCCTGCCGAGAGAGCGGCGCACACCCCTTGCTCGCACCCGCCTGCCCGCCCGCCCTCCGGAGTGTGGGGGGATTGGAGACAGTGGAAGGGGGCGGGAGTGGACAGACGGACGGATGGACGTAGCCACCCGGGGCAGGGTGGAGACATTCCCCCGGATCTCCCACCCTCCGGGCTCTCGCAGTCTAGGGAGGGGGAAAAGATCTGAACTACAGGAGGCGGAGCATCACACGAAGAAGGCGGGGCCTATGACAAGGAGGCGGGGTCATTCTTAAAGTGGGTGGGGTTAGGTGGTTATGGGTGGGACTTGGGTGTTCCTGAGACCACCTCTTTTTGGGAGTGGGTCTGATTTGAAGCTGAACAGGAGGAGCCTGTGGGGAAAGGGGCGGAACTTTGAGTAGGGACTGGGATCCTCGAAAATTAGCTGGGGGGGGGGGGGGGGGGGGGGGGGGGGGGGGGGGGGGAGTCGAGGAGGTGATCAACTTGGAAAGTGGGCCAATCCGTGACGCAAATCCTCTAGTTCCGCCCTCAACCCTGCTCCTCAGAGCTCGGCTCCTCCGCTCCTAATTGGTTCTAGTTTCTCCGCCCGCCAGACATCTTCGCCACTCAGCAGCTTTTTTACAAAGGCGTAAGTACCCGGGTGAGGACCTGGACGCTGAAATGAGCACGGCCCTGATTGGGCACCTGTGGACTCTATTTGCATGGGCAATCTGGATTGGCTGGCCTCTTGGGTGGCCTGGGCGGTGTTCCTCGCGCGCGTGACCACCGTAGCCATGGTCGGACTCGGGGCTGCTTTCCGCCGCCTTGGTGCCTTGTCTGGAGCTGGGGCCCTCGGCTTGGCTTCCTACGGGGCGCACGGTCAGGGGGCTGGGGATACAGCTGGGCTGTGCTGGGGGCGACCTCTGGGGTCTGGTGCAGAGGCGGAGCCTATGAGAAGTCCCGGCTTCCCATCGACCGCACAAGCCCGCGGTGCCCTAAACCTTTAAAAGTCTCTCAGCTGGTCTAATTGGTTCCCATTGCTGCCCGATATGTGTTTCTACCAACCGGAAGCTTCCTGGGGGGCGCCCTTTTTCACCAAGGTTCGCCCTGGTCCCCCGGGATTGGGGACAGTCGGCTCTGGCAGTAGATCTGGTCTGGTAACCTTTGCCTTTCTTCTTCACAGGCGCTCAGTTCCCGGACGCCTACGGGAAGGAGGTGAAGTAACTGCTCTGGATCTTCCCGACTTCCTAGTTTATGAAGGCAAAAAGTCTGGGGTCCCCGAGGAAAGTTGTGGGTGGGGGCGAAACGCGTGGATTTCAGGAAGCAGCAAGGGCCACAAGACTGTAGCGTGGGTCCTTGAGGGAGCGGAGCTKCAAGCTGGAACTTGGAGGGTGTGGGCGGAAGAGACCAATTCTGGTCCTGTRTGTCAGTGGGATCCCTGGCTCCTGTGTTGCTTATGAAGTCCCCCATGTCTCTTTTTCTTACAGCTCTTTGATAAGACCAACAAACACCATTTCATACACAGCCTGGCCCTTTTAGGGGTACCTCATTGCAGAAAACCTCTCTGGGTAATCTGTCCCTCTACGTAACGTTGACCAAGCCTATCCACTCTTATTTTGCAGTTCTTACAAGCCTCTATTCTGTTATTTTCTCCTTCAGGCCGGGTTGCTGCTAGCCTCTGGAACCACCTTATTCTGCACCAGCTTTTACTACCAGGCTCTGAGTGGAGACTCTAGCATCCAGATGTTGGGCCCAGTGGGAGGGAGCCTGTTACTCATAGGCTGGCTTGCCTTGGCTCTTTGAGGTCTCTTCTGTTTAATTACTAATATATCTGGGTAATTTGGGGGAGAGTTGGGGTAGAAAGGGGATTAAAAGAGAAAAGCAAATGAAGAACTTMGGAATTTTTGTTCATTTAACCTCATGGAGCATGAAAACTCAACCTTTGAACTTCTTCCTGGAAGAAGTTCTAACACTTATCATTGAGGCTTGGTTCTGGGGATTCTGTTCAAGTTAACTTGTGTTGATGTTCTTAAACTGGCAGGCATCAGAGTCATAAGGAATGCTCCAAATAATGCAGACTCTTACTGAAACCTTTTGGCACCTGAGAGTCTGCGTTTTAAAAAGTTTATCAGTAGTTCTGATGTTCACTRGAATTTGAAGATTACTGTAGGATTGTGATTCAGCTCTGTCATTCTACAAATTTCTCACCAACTTACTGTAAAAGTGGAGAGTTAAAACAAAGCAGGTCGGGAGGAGTATCATTAATTATAAACTACTTTGCGGTGTAAAGCAGAAATAATATTATATATTGGGGAATCAGAAAATGCTTCACTGCTTGAGGTGATCCTTAAAGGACCTCTCTTGTATGGAAGATCATATAATGAACAAAGAGATTGAGGTGGGGAGAGGAAGGGTWTGGAGACAACATGAGTCTTCAGTGTGGGCTGAGTTTCTGAATTAGGCAGRAAAGGAATGAGAAAAATTGGCAAGACAGACTGGACTGGCACAGCATGGAGAGAACTGGAAGATGTTTGGGAGGACAGCATTAAGTAAACCAGTGTTGATCTTGTATCAGACACACATTATAAGAAGGTTCAGATATGAGCAAGACAGATGATGTCCTTTCCCTGATGGAGTTTCCCATCTAGCAGTGGAAATGGACTTTAAACAACAAAACACCCAAATATATCAGTTGTGCAATGTACTGAAGGAAAACAACAATCGAATAGCTGGGCTATAGAAGATACCCCCAACCCTTTAGATGGGAAGACCTGGGGGTCCTATTGAAGGTGAACTAATGATGGGCAAAGTGGAGAAGTGTATTCTAGGCAGAAGGAATAGTTGGCAAGACAAGCTGAAAGGGACAGCTCAAAATCCTTGTAATGAAGAGAAAATTTGGTGAGTTAGAGAAAGGAAAAACTAGTGYGGCTGCCATGTAGTGGACCAGGGGGTCCTGGATGGCTGGTATAGGCCTTGCAGTGGTGAGTTGCTTGGACTCAATTTGCAGTGCAGTAGTAAGTCTCTGAAAGGTTTAAGTCATCCTTTTTAAAGTATCTTTCTTTTTTCCTTCCTTCCTTTTTTAATTGCCATGCAATGTATTGCCATACATTGCTATTGTATCTTCTTCATATGAAGATGATATAATAAGGCCTCAGAGGAGACCCAGGGCCTTGCACATGTTAGGCAATTGTTTAATCACTGAACTACATCCCCAGCCCTTTTTATTTTAAGACGGGGTCTTCCTGAGTTGCCCAGGCTGGCCTCCAACTTGGGATCCTSCTGCCTCAGCCTCCTGAGTAGTTTTGCACATTTGATAAAGTGTAATTTGTATATTTTGAGGGTACATACTTAATTTTCCTGAAGGTATACATTAAAATAAATGTGAAGTGTGTAGACCCTTTCTCTAAATGACAAGATTTATAAGTAACCTTATCTATTGCTAGGTATTTCATCTAGTCCCATATCTTTACTTACAATCTGCATACTTTTTAAATTTATCTTTTTAAAATTTGTTCTTTTTAGTTATGATAATAATCTGCATACATTTTTAAAATTTTTTTTCATTGTTGATAGGCCTTTATTTATTTATTTATTATATGGGGTGCTGAGAATCAAACCCAGTGCCTCACACATGCCAGACAAGTGCACTATCRCTCAGCCCCAGCCCCAGCCCCAATCTGCATACTTTGAAATCCAGAATTTCTATCTTCTACCCTAATCTCCACTGAGTTCCACAGCCCCATACCAGCAGCTTTTAAGGCAGCCCTAAGTAAAAGTGTATCAGAGATCTGTAAGAATTCCTGGTGGCTGGCTTAAAGATTGAGAGGGCCAGGAGTGAGAGATGGGATAGTAAGGCCAAATAGTAGAGAATCTTATGTTGTGAGATTATCCTCTCTCCTGAGGGCAGTGGGGCATTTATATCCAGGGAGGTGGCATGATTTGAGTTGTATTAGTAGAGGATCACATTTCTTCATTTGAAGACAATACAATAAGGCCTCAGAGGAGACCTCCAGAGTGGCCTAAAGATCTAGTGGCAGAGTGAAGGCTGGCTCCTCAGTCTCCTACTTCCCAATCCAGTGCTCTAGYATTTTCATCCATCTCAGATGGCTTCTAGGGCAGAGAGGAAATGTCCTGGAGGAGACCCCAGGTATCTGCAATGGCCATCTTCCATGTAATGAGTTCCCTAATACCTTAGCTTTGGTCCTGTCAAGTGRCTGGGCTCTTGGGGGAACCGAGATAAATAAAGCTTGATCATTAGCCCCCATTATTACTATTGTGATTTATTAAGTGAGGTATTTAAGTTAGGTTTGGTATAGTCAGGTGTGACACAGTGAAGGACAGACGAGATTGGTGAAAAGATTATTACAGATCACAGAGAAAAGAGATCAGTATACCTCACAGGGAGGTATAGGAAGGGAGTCCAGGATGCACATGCTCAACCAGCAAGTGGAAGTRCGAGAGATGGAGGGACTTGTAGACTGAAGTGGTTTCCCATGATAGAGCTGTATTAGATAATCTGAAGGGAGCACAAGGCTAAGTTGGAGGCAATCAAGGGTTATACTATTGGATTCACCAGAACTAAAGTCAATGTAAACTTGTCATATGGTTCAGGGTCTGGGACTTATCTACCTAGAACACAGAAAGGGGGCTGGATGGGGAGTTCTTTGAAATATATAGGTCAAGGGAGACAGACCAAAAGCAGCATAACCAGATGGATGCAAAGGGTTAAGGGTATAGCTCAGTGGAAGCGCCCTTGACTAGCACAAGATCTTGGGTTCAACCCCCAACATCACACACACATTAAAAAAAGTGACTGTCAAGCATTATAAATGAGGATTATGACAATTCCTGAACATTGTATCAGATTTCTCAACATTCCTGCAAGTTAGTAGAAGGGGAAGCTAAGGAAGATGCAGTGACTTGTTCTATATTATCCAAGTAGGATCTGGACAAGCTGTGATTTAAATTCTTCCCTGTTCAGCTCCCAGAGCTATGTTCTGTTCTTCTACAAATCAAGAAATTCAGATTTCAGCAGTGAAGATAGAACATCTAAAAAGATTAATATGTTGATGCAATGTGTTCAGTGTTACAACTAGAATTGGGCTTGTTTTGCCTTTGGGGATTGGCAATACTTCAGTTTGTTTCCTGGGTTTTTAGCATGAACAGGAATTAACTAGAAAAAAGAGAAATACAAATTAAAACTACATTGAGATTCCATCTCCCTCCACTCAGAATGATAATTATCAATAATACAAGTAACAATGTTGGTGAGGACATAGGAAAAAAGGTACACTCATACATTGCAGGTGGGACTGCAAATTGGTACAATCAACATATCAGTAATAAATCAAAAAGGAGAACAGTATATCAGAGTGGCCTAAAGACCTAGTGGCATACTGTATTGGGTGGGCAGGCAGAAAATGATGAGAGTAAGATTGAATGTGTACTGTGCAGAAAGCTCTTCTGAGCCAAGTGAAAATCAACTTGGAAATTCTCTTTTTCTCCTGTGTCCACGCCATCATCAAGTTATGTGAGCTCAAGTGCATATCTGGAATCAGATCATTTCTCACCACTAACGTTGCTGTCACCATGGTGCCRGGTCTAAGTCTATCAGATTGCACTTAGATTTCTTTAAGAACTTCCTCCTGCCTTTACCTACCTACAGTCTTCACTTTTTTTGTTGTTGTTGTTCTTTTTAGATGTAAATGACAATAGAGTGCATTTTGACATATCCTACCCGGATAATATAGAACAAGTCACTGCATCTTTCTTAGCTTTCTCTTYTACTAACTTAGTATAACTTATTCTAATTAGGATCCCATTCTTATGGTCTTACATGATATGGAGTTTTACTGCTCATGTATTCATATATGAACATAGGAAAGTTATGTTCAATTCATTCCCCTTTGTCTAATCCAGTGAACTTCTAATCCTCCCAATCCCCCATTGTGTGTTAGCATACACATATTAAAACATTCAGCCTTTGRTTTGGGAGGATGGTTTATTTCACTTAGCATGATATTTTTCAGTTCCATCCATTTATCTTCAAATGCCATCATTTCATTCTTCTTTATGGCTGAGTATTATTCCATTGTGTGTGTGTGAGTGTARGTTGGTTCCATAGCTTTGCTATTGTGAATTGAGCTGTTATAAACATTGATATGGCAGCACCACTATAGTATGCTGATTTTAAGTCCTTTGGGTATATGCCAGGGAGTGGGATAACTGGGTCCAATGGTTCCAAGTTTTCTGAGGAGTCTTCATCCTGCTTTCCAGAATGGTTGCACCAATTTGCAGTCCCACCAGCAATGTATGAGCGTACCTTTTYCCCCACATCCTCACCAACATTTATTGTTACTTGTATTATTGATAATTACCATTCTGAGTGGAGTGAGATGGAATCTCAGTGTAGTTTTAATTTGTATTTCTCTAATTGCTAGAGATGTTGATACTGCATACTCTTGACAGAGCAACCTGAAAGAGATCCTCATAGTAGAGATCCAGTAGTCCTTGACCTTGGCTATAAATTAAAATCTAAAGCATTCTTAAAAAGTTCCTATGCCTGCATCTCACCCTGTATATTCAAATTTAATCGATATCAAGTGAGATGCAGGCAGAGATGTTTTCTAAAACACTCCAGATGATTCTAACGTGTAACCAGGGTGGAGAACCATCATTTCACTGCATTTTAAATTTCATGTCTTACCTGATGCAGTGGCACAGGTCTGTAAGCCCAGCTGCTCTGGAGGCTGAGGCAGGAGGATCTAGAATTCAAAGCCAGCCTTAGCAATGGTGAGGTGCTAAGCAAGTCAATGAGACCCTGTCTCTGAAGAAAATACAAAAAAGGGCTGGGGATGTGGCTTAGTGGTTAAGTGCCCCTGAGTTAAATCCTGGATACAACAACAAC